TAAAGTGATTTTAGTTAGTAAAAGTAAACCTCTGTGTGTGTGTGCGTGTGTGTGTGTGTGTGTGTGTGTGTGTGTGTGTGTGTGTGTGTGTGTGTGCATGGGCCGTATTGAACTTCCTGACTCCTCTGTAAGTAGCTGTTTCACTTTCATGAGTTGCTAGAAATCCGATCTCAGGAAAGGACATTTGAGACGTCTGAATTTCGCTGTGAGCTGTGGTGGTATTGTGTTCCCCAAAATATTGTGCACCCTAATAAACAGAACAGCCACTAGATACAAAGGCTAGAAAATGGTGGCACTCACACCTTTAATCCTAGCACTCCAGAGGTAGAAATCCCTCTGGATATCTGTGAGTTCAAGACCACATTGGAAACAGCCAGGCATGGTGACTCACGCCTTTAATCCCAGGGAGTGGTGGTAGAAAGTAGAAAGGTATATAAAGCGTGAGGACCAGAAACTAGAAGCATTTGGCTGGTTAAGCATTTGGCTGGTTAAGCTTTTAGGTTTTGAGCAGCACAGTTCAGCTGAGAGCCATTCAGATATGAGGACACAGAGGTTTCCAGTCTGAGGAAACAAGACCAGCTGAGAAGTTGGCCAGGTGAGGAGGCTGTGGCTTGTTCTGTCTCTCTGACCTTCCATCATTTCACCCCAATAACTGGCCTCAGGTTTGATTTTATTAATAAGAACTTTTTAAGGTTCCTGCTACATCTGTTGCCCAACGTTCGTGGTACAAATTCATGAAAAAGTTGCTTGCCTGTGGCCCTGTGGGCCCCAGCTCAGGCCGGAGCTACACTTGGCCAATTATGGTGGTGCACACTGGTTGGATTTACTGAAGAAGGCAGAGGCAGGAGAATCCTGAGTTTGAGGCCAGCCTAGGAGGCTTGCTAAGGAGAAGCTTTGGCCGGGGCCAAGCCACAAACAGTGGTGGGACCATGGAGGCACCGGCTACTGCTCTGAGTTGCTGGCTTCTTCTTATCATGTTGGTGACTGCGGTGATGCTGCTACCTGGGACAAAAAGTTTACCACTGTTCAGAGAAGAATTGCCAGGACCATCATGTTACAAGAAAGCATCGGCAAAGGTCAGTTTGGAAAAGTTTGGCAAGACAAATGGTGGGGAGAAATTGCTGTGAAGGTATTCTCTTCTAGGGAAGAACATTTGTGGTTCTGAGAGACAGACATTTATCAGACTGTGATTGCTCCAAACCACAGAGGAGGCACACAAAAAAAAATCTGCAGGGAACCATGACCATGTCTAACAGCGACTTTGAAATCTTCAAAAAGATGACAGGACTCCACAAAGATGATTTTACATGGACTATGGTAAAGCCATTAAGCTGATTAACACCAAGGAAAGATCGACTTTGTACTACAAAGTGTTTAGGACAATTTCGAGATGGCTAGCTGAGATGATCCAGCCTGACAGACTACTCGAACAAGGATTTGAAACAAGCCCTGAACTTTCTCAATATGCAGAGACAGGACAAACGATACAGGACTTGACAATTAACCTAAAAATTTTCTTTTCAAGATTCCCTAAAGATGTCTTCACCCCTAGAAAGCAAAAAGGAAAAGAGAATATAGATATGAGATAGATCATTAAATCTACTCTGAGAAAAAAGATAAAGAAATAATAGGATAAATATGTAGATGACTGAATCTACACTGAAAAGAAAAAGGGGAAGATATAAAAATAACAAAAGGTATGTTACTGAATCTATTATGAAAAGAAAAAATACTTTTAAAAAGGAATTACTTGTTTTAAATAGGATAAGTAATGAAATTTTTTGAGTTTATCAATGTTACTGGACTGGACATTGTTTATATATATAATGGAGTTTTTATCTGAATCTGTCAAATGTTAATGGACTAGACATAGTTAATGTAATCTTGACTGTATATTGTATATACTTATTGGATATAATTTTTCTTGTATTAGTTATAAGCTTTTTTTAAATTTTAGACAAAAAAAGGGGAAATGTGGTGGTATTGTGTTCCCTAAAATATTGTACACCCTAATAAACTTATCTGGGGTCAGAGACAGAATAGCCACAATATTAAATATAGAGGATAGGCAGTGGTAGCTCACGCCTTTAATCCCAGCACTTGGGAGGCAGAGCTAGGCAGAAATCCATGTGTTCAAGGAAACAGCCAAGCATGGTGACTCACGCCTTTAATCCCAGGGAGTGATGGTAGAAGGCATAAAGATATATAAGGCGTGAGAACCAGAAACTAGAAGCATTTGGCTGGTTAAGCATTTGGCTGGTTAAGCTTTCAGGCTTCTAGCAGCAGTTCAGCTGAGACCCATTCTGGATGAGAACTCAGAGGCTTCCAGTCTGAGGAGACAAGATCAGCTGAGGATCCAGTGAGGTGAGGTAGCTGTGGCTTATTCTGTCTCTCTGATCTTCCAGTGTTCACCCCAATAACTGGCCTCGGGTTTGATTTTATTAATAAGAACTGTTAAGATTCCTGCTACAGTGAGCCAGGTGCAGCTGTCCCTCAGTATGGGTGGAGGGTTGGTTTCAGCAAAGCCCCCTCTGTCACAAAATATTCAAACCTTCACATGGGCAAGACTCCCTTGGAAATGGTGTGGGTTTCTCATAGAACATACAGGTACCCCATTGATGTTAAGTCATTTCAAGAGGATTCATGATATGAGAACACTACATGCATTAGTTCTACTGTGCAGCTTAAAAAATGTTGACGAGATAAAAAGGACTCAGTACAGATAAAATTTTTCTTTCAAGCTTCTTACTTGAATCTAAGGATATGGAGATCTGGCTGAGACATCGTATAACATATTCAGAAGAAAAAAGTTCAAAGCTGTGTACTGTTGTTGAGAGATTTTTTTAATCCCCCAAAGAAAACATCTCTCTCTCACACACACACACACACACACACACACACACACACACACACACAATACTTTAAGCTTCATTCATAAGAAAAATAAATCCCTTGCAGGAAGATCGAAGAAACCACTGATAAACAAGAAATTATCCTTTGCTCAAGACAGATTAATTCATGGAGATCCGTTTTGAGAGCGTTCTGTGGTTTCCACATGACTTAGCATGGAAGAAATGACCAAGTCGGAGGGGGATCTTGTGCTACTAAAGCATGCAGGTTGCTCGTGGACCGGTGGCCAGCTCTATCGATGACTTTTCTAAGTCCTTGTTTGATGAGTCCCTCATACTCCGCATGACTTCTGCCCCTCCCATGCTGCTCAGAGCAGAGCACACAGGGCAGAATTCAAGCGCCATATGTCTGTGTCCAGCTGGAGGTCAGCAGCGGCTCATCCAGATCCAGCCCTTCTGACCTTGACATCACTCTAACTGATCTCCAGTCTAGGAACTCAGCCTTGTTGATTCCAGAGATAATGCATTGATTGGTGAAACAATGCCATGGTGATTAATCGTGGAATAATTATTCATGAGGCACCTTTAATTTGTCCTCTACTCCTTGAGACCCTGTGGAGTACCCTTTATCTGCCCTATAACTAATGCGATTGTGGTTGGAAAGATGCGCTGTTTAATATGTATTAGATATTAAACAATGAGCTGGTTGTGCAGATCAATGTTTTTAATACAGGGAGTGTTGCAGAGATGAAACTTTCTCTGAGACTCACAGAATAGGAAGATCCACAAGGGTATAAATTATAGAGGAGGCTTTCAATCTGAAGGAGACTGAACTGAAGGTGAAAGTCGATGCATTGATGGTTAAAGAAATGCACAAATCTACTGAGGCAGTGTTTGTGAAATGTGGTAGCAAAGCAGAGCAGAAAATCTTTTTTTTGTGGTGCCCTAGTTTGCTTTGTGATGCTGTGGTAAAACACTCACCAAAAGCATTCTGGACAGGAAAGGGTTTATTTGGCTGGCAGGTTACAGTCTGTCATCAAGGTAAACCTGGGCAGAACTCAAGGCAGGAACCTGGAGGCAGGAACCGATGCAGAAAGCATAGAGGAACGCTGCTTACTGGCTTGCTCCCCTCGGCTTGCTCTCTAATGCAACCCAGGCCCATCTGCCCCAAGGTGCCACAGTGGGTGTGGTTCTCCTCCATCAGTCAGCAATCAAAAAAAAAAAAAACAACCCCATGTAATAGGAGAATCTGATGGAAGCAATTCCTCATCTGGAGTTCCCTCATCCCAGACATTTCAACTGGACAGACAAAAGTAGCCATCACCTGTGGAAAATGAGACAGAAGGACAATACAGGACCATCCTGGGAACTGTGCCTTATTGTACTTCCCAAGCCTTCTGTAGGTTCTTACAGAAATGTCTATGCACTCCACCGTTTTTACACTTCTCGTTATATACTCATTTGCTTCTCCATCTTTACATTCACCGCCTGAGGAACGTGCAGAGTGCTTGCCTCGTGTCCCCAGGGATGAGGTTAGAGGAATGAACTTCGTGGTCAAATGAGCTTAGAGTCAGTATCTTCCCACGACTTCCTTGACAGCCTTCTGTGACCATGAGTAGCTGGACAGCTATGGATTCAATCAATTATGAATCAAAAATAATTCTTAAAGCTTACACCTGTACTAAATATGTGCAGAATTTGAAAAAAAAAAACAATTATTCCTTAAGCCACACAGTGAAGCAGCTGTTTGCATGGTATTTGCATTGTGTTAACTTTTATATGAATCAGCTAGAGGTAGGTGGTTTAAGGCTTATGAGAGGCTGTGTACAGGCTCAAAGTAAATGCTACAGCATTTTGTACCGGGACAAGTATGCATGCATGTTAGCATCCATGTGGGGGCCTAGAACCAATCCCTCACAGATGCTGACAGATGGCTATAATGGCTATATGACATTCCTCAAAGCATCAATTAAACCTTGTTTGTTGGTGACAAAATTGTTCTGGTTGTGATAGTGTTTCATTAGGCTTCTTCCTTCACCCTCATCAATATTCCTTTATGGAATTATTCCTCTGCTTTCCATGAAGTTTTGGATGTGTTCACTGGAGACTGTTGAACATTTTGAGTCACACAGTGGCAATAGAAGCTCACTAGATGCTTCTAGATTCTTATCTGCCCCTTAGCCTGGGTATTGAACTTGCCTTTGATTCCATCGATTATTCATATTTCTGTACTCCTCCATATATAATCCTTGTTTGGCTACTTAAGTTAAGGGGTGTCAGAGTGTATCGCCAATGGCTGTATGCCCTGGGAAGTTCAGATGGGCTGTGCCCCAGGGGACAGCCAGTGCAACAAGCGACATGTGAATTCTCAGGAGCACTGGCTATTGTCCTGTTGTTTATTAAGGTCTCATGACTTGGCCCTCGAGTTTCTTATAGCGCAGTAGATGTAGGAGGGCGAAAGGGGGACGCGATGTGGACTAGAACTTGGGGACATAAAAGAGACTCTTGATCCATAGAGGAAGGGGATTTTTCCAGGCTAGGGGACAGGGGAATAATCACATGAAAGGGATAGCTGTGTTGCCAAATGAAGGATGACAGAAACAGAAGGTCTAGAATCTTGGAGGGAAGGGTACTGTGGTAATGAGGGAAAGAGAAGACGTTTAACTGAGCAATGTACCTGGAGAGCTGGAAGGAGTGGCGTGGAGCATCCTGGTGGGGTGGAGACAGGTTGGTTGTCGCTTAAACAACCTGATTCAGAATCGACAGCACTTCCTAAATTAGGCTACGGAATTTGCAGTCTACATTAAGAGCAGGGGAGAATTGCAGAAAAAAAAATAGTCTGTGATGCAGAAGAAACAAGGCTCCGTGCTTAGCTCGCATTACGGCTGTGTAAGCTAGCGATCCCCTCTCCAGTCCCAGCATTCATATGTGGGGGTCGCCGGGCTGGGTAATCCAAAGTGCACCATCAAAACAGCAAATTCACACAGCGTTCGTGGTTGAAGTCAATTACAGAAGAAACCAGTTTCGGTCTTTTTATAATGTGGGTGGAAAAACACAATGTTCTATAAGAAATACTATAATGTAAGCTGCTAGACTGTTCAGCTCTGTAACTCAGAAAACGTGTGCCTCAGAAAGCCCTTTAGCTCTGCAGATCACTGGAAACATAAGCAGACACTCTATGAGAGTGATAGAAAGCAAGGAGATGCTGTATGATTTTAATCTTTAGAAATCAGACGCACACGCACCCGCCAACACACACACACACACACACACACACACACACACACACACACTAGCCTTCCAGTGGTGCTTGTAACTTGTCCATGTGGCCACAGGAAAGGACATGACCTCTTCCTCGTCACCCCTAGAAGAGGAATCTCAAGGCAGCATTAATAACCCATCATGTACATACGTCCTCAGCTCCTCTTTCCACAAGGATCACAGACGTATTGCACTAGGTAAACCTCCCTTAGCTTGCTTAGTCCTTTAAAAGTACTCACACTCACCATCAGGGGGTGCACAATTCAGTCCACAAGCGTCACTACTCACGGCTCTCCTGAGACAATGCTCACCTATTCTCCTGAGATCAAGGGTAGGAGATGTAAAAGAGTCGTTAGTTCCTTCTGGTGCTTAATTAACAAACAAATGAATAATAATTAACTTAAATTGAGCATTTTATTGTTCACTAGATACTAACTAGGCTGAGAAGCAGGATCTTAGCAGCCAATATGGCAGACTGGGGCAACCCAGGGGGTTGATTTGGTAGCTACCCAGAATGCCGTGGGACCATGCCAGTGATGGGTCTCAGCAGGCACAACTCTTCTTATGGAGTCTTGAACTCTTGAAATCCTACCTGCTCTAGTTTTTCTTTACAGGCATCTCAAGACCTCTCCAGGCAGAGGGTTCCCACCCTGGCTGTTGGCCTGGTCTCTGGGGAATAGAAGTCCTTGGCAGTGAGGGTCAGACCAAGCACAGGTCCCTGCAGACTCAATGCACACTAGCTCCATAGTGACTGGGGAGAGGTGCCTGCAGTCTCCGGAGAATCAGAAGAGGGGGAAGGATTGCAAAGTGACACCAATGTGTCCCATGTGTCTGACAAAAAGATTAGTGGCAGAAATAATGACTTTGGAATGGCACCATTTTGGGGAGATGATTGAGAAGATTTGGGACCCTCAACCTACATTTTAACCTTTCAGATAGTGGATGTAGAACAAGAGATTCATATTATGGAGAAAATAATTGTCAAACATGACAACTTGATTCTAAGACACATTATTACTAATCAACTCCGTGAAGGAGCCACCTCTAGCTTCAAGGTTTTAGCATTTGTGGTTGTTTAAAACTTTTTTTTCAGCTGGGCAGTGGTGGTGGCGGTGGTGGCGGTGGTGGCAGCACAGGCCTTTAATCCTAGCACTTGGGAGGCAGAGACAGGCAGATCTTTGTGAGTTCGAGGCCAGCCTGGTCTACAGAGGGAGATCCAGGACAGGCTCCAAAGCTACACAGAGAAACCCTGTCTCAAAAAACCAAAAAAAAAAAAAAAAAAACACAAAAAACTTTTTTTTTTCTAAGCAGCACAAATCCCAGTGGCCATACCTTCAGTCAAGGTCTTTGCAGTGAAACTGCTTGACATCATGAGTTATGTCTGGCTTGGCTGAATGGAAGGACAGCTAACACTTCCGAAAGGGCAGCATAAATGCTTCCTGGATGGTTTCTTCACTGCAGTTGGTGGTCAGAGCTCTGGAGTAGGTTCCCCAGGCCTTCAGGCTTGTTCTCTGCTCTACATCCAGGAGTTACACACAGCGACCCCTTCCAAACATACCCCTGCACGTCCAAAGAGACTGTTTAGTCCATGCTAAGACACGACTCCCTTCTTCAAGGGATGCTCGTAGTTCTGATTTTGTGGGGTTTTATTTTAGGGGAGGCTTAAATTATTTTGCTTGCACATTAATTTAGAGGCTTACAGCCTCAAGATCCCAAATCCAGTAGACTCAAAGCTTTAAGCCAATAGCATCCATATTTCTTTTTACCGAAGGTCTCATTTAAAGAAATATTAGCTAAAACAGATTTGTAACCACCCTGTAGTTAATATAGAATTTGAAACAATAAAGTCCATATTTTTTTAAAAAAAAAAAGCCCTCTGGGGAACTTGCACTGAGTTTTAAGGCTCAAAACTACTGAGGCTAGCACAAGAACAGGACATGGAGGAATTTGAGACTTTTTAGAAGTGCATGCTGGGATTGAGGATTGTCTGGTTGTTCAGGGGTTCTTTTAGAATTAGTAATAGAATGTATTCGTACAAGGGTTTCAGTTATGTAGAAGAGATGAATGGGAAGTATGGAGAATTCTCACATATCCTGCCATACTCGGCTGCTCCCAGTTCTCTTTATTAATCCTGTGATGGTGTGGTACCTTTTTAGAGCTGGTGAGCCGATATTCATGTTAGCATTATTTACTGAGGCCCAGAGTTGGGATTCTGTTGGACAGTCTGTGGGATTTGGGCAAAGGCATATTACATGTACCCATCATTAAAGATTCATATAGAATAGATTCTATGGCCTAAAAATCCCTCACGCCCCTAGACTTTCTCCCTTGGAGTTCAAGAAGTTTCAGAGTTTATCATTTTATATTTAATCATATGACCCGAATGTGTCTGTATTTTCCCCAGCTAGTGAGTTTCATATTTTGATGATATCTTCTGACTCATCACATCTCCCTTCCAGCATGAGACCTCCCCAGGTGTATCTTACAGGAAAGGTCTACGGCAGAAACATCCAGCTTTCATCAGGGGTCTCTTGGTCTTGCGTCCATGTCTAGAGGACGCCTGGGCCATGTGCAGTACCCGAGTTGGGAGATTTCCTTCTTTCCAGTTCTGTGAGAATCTCCTCTTACTCTCTCTGTTGGGGAATTTGGTGTGTGTGTGTGTGTGTGTGTGTGTGTGTGTGAGAGAGAGAGAGAGAGAGAGAGAGAGAGAGAGAGAGAGAGAGAGAGAGAGAGAGAGAGAGA